AGATTATGGTCACGTGATAGTTGCCTTCGGATATTTAAAAAGAGGCAGAAAGACAGATCACTTACTCAGACTAAGACGTGAGTAGAAGAAATTATTGTTGGCTCTAAAAAGCTGGATCACTCGTGGACTATGAATAATGTATACAAGATAGGAGTATGCATTGAGATTTTATTAAGTCTTTATCAATATAACAATTGTTATTTCATTCCAACCCTATTTTATATCGTTTAAACGTGATATCATTGCAGGCAAAGACGAATTCTTCACCTACTAGTGATGCCGGTATAATCACTCAGCAAGCTCTGCATATCTGGGATAGCCAAGAAGAATCACATACGAATTGAAGTTGAAAGCAAACACATGCAAATCTCCATTTGACGACTTCTCAATCATGCAGTACTTTCCATTATCCTCTGAGTTCTCAATCTCTTTCTAACCACATATTATCTCGCCTCGACGACCATTAAAGAAGTTGCTCCAATTGCATACAGGAGCTTGCCCCATTGATTTCCAGCCATCTCTCACTACATATTTGCGACGCTACGTATACCCGCAAGGAGGAAATTAAGTCATAATGTACAAAGTTAGGGTCGTGGTTCATGGGGGACTGATGCTCTAATGGGGTTATACATCTTGAGGACGGATAGGCGGCTGAGATGTGGAATGAGAGGGGGAACAGGTCTCTGAAGACTATGATGGAACTGATATCTTCGAGATGTCCCAATCTCGGAACGTTTGTGGGCGCCAAGACCGAGCTTTTGGCTGATTCGCCAGGAGAACTTCCAAGGTCGATGAGTCAACGACCCCCCAGGACCCCGGACTATAGAAAAGAAGTTGGGCTAAGCTACAATACATCAATCATGGTTTATCAATACTTTCCTGACATCTCAGCACGACCTTCGGAAAGGAGTTGGAAGGAGGCAAGAAAGGCAGAGGATGAATCTACCGAGCTACCCACAAGCCTGTAGCGCCCAGCTGGCCGGCCTCTTCGAACGCTCCAGAAGGGGCACTATGTCTTCGGATCTAGTCCTATCGTCGCTATCAGAAGAGCCCTGCATCGCATGGTTTTTGCGATCTTTCCCGACTGTCATACACCCGCAACTGGCGATCTTTTCGTTGGCTGGAGAGGGGAGATAATGAAGGGCAAAGGGCTCCTCTAAATGTATGATCGAATGAGGACTTGTAAGGGGAGGTACTGTTTGAGGGGAGTTGTATAGGAGGCATAGGTATCCCTTGCCTATAGGCAGAGAGGACCTGTATGTCTTTCATAGTCATAGACTCAGACAGGACAATAAAATGAATTGATAATAACTATCTAGGGGAATTACCTTCGCAACGGCAGCTTGCTGAGCGTGGCCCAGTCGATTTCGATTGACACATGGGCTAGGTTCCGTTCCCGGCACGATAGATCGAAAGTTTAAGTTTGGGTCTCTTCTATTCAGTCTCCTAACAACTTCCCGATTGAGTTTGACTGGGAGGACTTTAAGACTCACCAAAAACCCTCCAAAATCAAAGGTAAAATTCCTTTCGCCTTCAACCTTACTAACATTGTGTGCAAGACTGGGCAATTGCTCGGCCCCATTTTAGACAAGCACCTCGATCGCGACATCAAAATTCTCAACCTTTCGACACATTCCAAGGACGGCGCGAACGAAGAAGCCTCACTCAGACAACGAACAATGTACGACAAAAGCTGGGGCACCGATGCCTCGGTTTTGAGCTCTCGATTTCGGAATTTCAGCCCTCTCAAATGGGGGTTGAGCGCAATGCAGGGGAGAAATTGGGAAGAACGATATGTGATTTTCAACAGACTATTGGCACAGTTGTTAGGGTGCTGGATGTGCTTTCTAGAAGTGGTAGGTTGGATTCCTACACGGCCTGTTTAAGGGGGGACTACGGCTGCTTGTCGTGAAAGAGTACAGGAGGAATTATTGAGGTTTTCCCCATGAAGGTTTTCCCTCAATACATGGTCTTAGGATCATGGTGAATGCGTTCTTACCTATTCGACCCGACGTAACTAGCGTGAGGCACGTATTTGGAAAAGTCAGGCACCGGATGGGCTTTGCTGGAGAATGGAGGAACTTGTATTCTAGATGTCCTCCATGTGTGTCATGTCCATTGGATGGAGGGTGTAAGTCTGGCATGATAAATATAATCATCATCATCATCATCATGACTGATGTGTCATTATTTCCTTAATACTTCATTTTGGTTAGAAGGTTCTGTAGAAAAGACGACCGAAATCTACGAGTAAATACTGAGCTCCATGGCTATCCATGTTGAGAATAATATCAGAGATCTTTCTTGGTAAGAAAAAATAGGAGCACTATACAAGGCGCGGCCTGGGTCAGGGAGCTGACCAATGTGCTAGATAGTATTTGACTTGTGTGAGATCCCAACCCTCGAGTATAGAACTCGCTCGGTATCTGTTTTGTCTACGGTCCCCTACAAGATTGACTGTCTCTACAAATATCTCAGATTCGCTAGTCGCACCTGTTATTACATGTAAGTTTAGATACCTACATACCACAGTGTATATTGTCTCATTATGGTATATAGGGGCGGTTGGTCATTACTACATATGACTTGCATGCCAGGCTAGTTTGCATCTATCTCACCGGTATCTAAGTCCAGTGTTTCCATAGGTGGAGAATATCGAGTCTTCTTTAATTCATTATTCTATATCCATACATTATCATATAGAGTATATTTTCCAAGCTGACTGAAGTAGTATGGTAAAAAGCAATCGACAGTCTCATGTTTTGGCCTGAGCCTCCTCTCTAAGCCTACACCCGCAACGCCACGGACATTTGCTAGCAAAGCCAAACTATGACACACAAATGTGGCGAGATAGGTCTCGGGAAGGAAAAGAGAGAGCGTTAGCTCGCGATGAAATTTTTATTTCGGAATAGGTACGAAGGTGGTTCTGCGAAGAGGCGCTTTAAAAATTGAATGGGGCGCGCCACACCCATATTAGCGAGAGTGCAGTCGACTGTAAAAAAGTAAACCCAGACGGCATCGGGGTATGCTAATGCACTTGGCTTTTCCGCGTTGTTGGATAGTCGATTCACCTACTCCATTCAAGACCAGTAGTTCAGAGGCTTCACATTTTACCGCAACGATGGGCAGGGATCGTGGAAGATTCGCGTTATGCTCTCCGTCGGATCTTGACAGCCTGTTATGATATGAGACTCCGAGGTAGTCAAGGCTACAGTATACATCACTGGTGTACTGGTAATACGAACATGCATATAGTTTCAAAGATGTACCCTCAATCAATTGATACAGGTTTAGTCTTGTACTTTTCATCCATATACCTAGAGCCTAGTATTCTATAAGTCTATTCACTGTCACCAACTAAATTTAACATCATCCACTCCTTATCACTCCGCAATATGACTTCCGCGTAGCTCATGACCATAACACAGGTTGGGGAAGGGCAAGCTCCTTAAAACATACCGAGCTTAACTTCCACAAGCACACCCACGATATGAGGTTAGTGTTAAAGAACTGACTCATCCTTACATGTTCATCAATGACGAACTATCCAGTTACAAATTCTGATCAAAGAGAGATTTCAGTGCCAAGGAGATTATGCTGTCCCCATATCTTCGCCATATATCGGACTCCTAGTCACACACAAAAGCTTCAGGTATACTTTAGATATTGAACATTCTAGGGATGTGCCTTATTCTAGAAGCTAGAGAAAATATCCTGGAAGTAATCACGAATGTATAATTAGTTATACAGCCTCTCTACACTACATTGTATTCCTATTCATTTAAGGCGTAAATACTTCTCGATTCAAAAGCACCTAGTACAGTTTTCCAGGCTTTGACATCGAGTGTGAATCACATCATAGAGCAGAAAAAGACGTAATTCTATCAAAACAAATCTTGTAATTGACTTACTTGCACTCACCGTACCTTAGAGTGGGTATTATTGCAAGACAGTGGGAGCGTCCGAAGGGTAGTTTATTTCAGAGAAAAATAGATGGCATTATCTTACGCTGAACACGTTGTATAATTCCCAACATGATCATACCACTGGGATTGGATGAGGGCCGATTCAGAGCCGAGTGTGACTCAGTCTTACAGGTTTTTACATGTACTTGCACAAGACAAAGTTGCCCACTAAGATGGTCTAGCATATGAAGGTGAAAAAGCCGTTCTAAATAATTTCGCGTGTAAGGCAATGATTTTCAGTGAGTAAAGTACACTTATGAACTATTGACTGTACTTCTTTATATCAAAAATGAATGTAAAGCCTCGGTTTTATTATGAACACGTGATTAAATAGGTCCCATTTTTTGAAATCTGGAGCTATCAATAAAAGATTTAATCGGAACTAAGTCCTTCATTTTTAATCTTGTGACAGTTTCTCATTTATCATAGAGAGCTAAATGGAGAAATTATAATTAATGCCTGTTGTGGTTAAAATAGAGCTAGATTAGTTGAAAAGGAAAAAGTAGTTTATGAGGCCAGTGATGGGTGAAAACAGATATTTGGGATACCGAATAATTGGTGAGTTTGGGGGTTTAATGCAGGTCGGTTTAGCTGATCAAGACTTTTGGCTACTTACTGGCCCTCAAATTATTTTGTTCAGGAACTTTACGGAGGTTCCAGCAGCTATTTAGCTTCATCGCTTGGTAGAAAGTTAAAATTTCTAGCCTGTCCTGGCTTACTTTGCAGACTTTGTGATTATCTTCAAAGACTGTTGGCAAAATTTTCAGGGAGTTGTGAGGCGTTCAGCTGCATCATATTTGGATTGGCAACTATAACTTGCCGCTTTTATGAATCTTTGCGACTAAAATTAAGATGTAAAATAATTCTATGCCGCATCATGTGTACTATTCATCATAAGTCTTGATTGGATTAAAAAGATGCCATCTAAATTGAGGATTGGGTAGTCTCCTTGTGTGAAAAGAGACGGCAGGATCACGATAGAATTGTTGAAATAATGCAACGTTATAAAATAGTTTTAAAGATTTTTCCAAGTGATCAAACTTCAAAGAATCCATCATCATTATCTTCGTTGTCTTCGAGCGGTGTCGTTCCAGACGCATTATTCTTGGTATGCGTCGCCGGCTTAAATTTTCCTCTATTTTGAAAATCTCTATGCAAGCTCCGTCTTTGCCTACGATTTAACCCTGTTGTGTCCACTGAAGTCAATTCTGGTTTAGTCTTTGTATGGTTTTTAACTAATGGTTTAGACGTCACAGCTGGTACAGTTGGGCCTCTATTCCTTAATTTTTCGAGGGTTCCGTCAGCCATTGCCTGTTCTACTTCTAGCCAAATTGGGGGCCTTTTAGGAATAACATCTTCATCTGAATTTCCGGGATTGGATGGTAAAGTTCCTGGAGGATACAGACTTAGGTACATCTCACTTAGAGGATGATAGAGGGTATAATTGAGGTCAACTTCCGCCGCATGGACTCGCTTCTTTAGTAATTCAATCTCTTCAGTAGACACAGCTTCTTGAACACGTTTTTTGAGTTTCTTCAAGATTCTTGTTGCCTTTTGGCGCTCTAATCATAAGTCAATGATTGACTAAAACCAAGCTACTAAGTGTTAATTTACCAAAGAACCTAACCATATGATATTTACTTATCATCTTTTGCCGTATTTTTTCTGCCTCAGCATCGGCCAATTCCTGTTGGTAAGCATTCAATGCCCTTTCATCCTCAACGCGAGTTTCTGCAGAGACTACGTGAGATCTTTGAAGTCGTCTAGTAACGTCTCGTATCCTCTTTTTGATAGCATTGACGCTTGAAGCTGAGGCTTGTTTACGGGGCTTGGGCGGTCCCAGACGTGGTTTCTTCGGTTGCTTTGGATTGCTGTCGGGCACCAAAAATCTTCGCGATTGATGAACGTGTTGCGAATCTTGCGACTGGTCGATAGTTCTTTTCGTAACGGCCATATTCTTGACAATATTTACAAATTCTTGTGATTACTGTCAAGATGCCTCAGTACCTTAGCTAGTTCACTTACTGCGAACTTCACCGCCTTCCTTTTTGAGAATCATCTCGGCCCTGCCCGATCACTACTCCTGATAAGTAGCCCCCATGTCCAAATTGCAGTAACCAAACCGCCAGTAAAGCGTCAAAAATGGAAAGGAAAGAGGGTATAGTCAGGTGGTCACCATATCAGACCAGAGATGAGTTCTTGAAGGTTAATCTTACCAACCACACTATCCATCTCTACAAAGCCACTGGTCATGCGCAGGCCGACAAGTTTGACTATAGTACTATATCGAAACACTCAGATATTCCAGACATCAATGGATATGACTGGTCGCCAAACCACCGTGGATTGCTTGCTATAGGTACGCCCTTAGGCGAGGTTCGTCTACTAAGAGTTGATGATAACTCCAATGAAAGTCTGACCCTACCACTCAGATTTCAACGGGCCTGTCAGGCCGTCACTTTCAATACTACAGGACTCCTAGCTGTAGGCTTGGATAGAGTACGAAATGATGCTTGTTTGCAAATTTGGGATGTAAATGAACGTCTGGCAAACTGGGATGCCAGTAAGCCTGGGTTAGCTGTGCCTACTATGACTATTGAGCCAAGAATTAAAATAGAAGGGGGCATGTCTGTCACGAGTGTCCGTTTTTTTGAAGATAGTCCCCAAACCTTGATCTGTGGAATAAGAAATCAGTCTGTAAAAATATATGATTTGCGAGGTTTCAATGCATCCATAACTCTTGCTGGTGTTGTCTAACTTGATTAGATCCCAACTCAAATGCCGCTACTTTTCAGACCAGATGTAACAATAACATTGCTCTTGATTATGTTGATTCCAACTATTTTGCCTCTTCAACGCTGGATCTCCCTGGCCTTGTCATATTTGATAGACGTGCTGCAGGTATGCGAAATGTTGCATCGCCTAGATACAATGAAGTTACCGACGAAGGAGATCTACCGTGGGGTGCTGTCCTAAAGCTGGACCGTATTATTGAGGGTGAAAGCAACGTATCAGTCAAGCAAATGCGGTTTTCGCGGGAGCACCGCGGTGCCCTTGGGGTTCTTTCTACCTCAGGTCAACTTCAAATTCTCCAAACACGAAAGGAATACATTGAGCCTGGATCCATCGATGATGTAAAAGGAGGTCCTGAGTTACTTGAAATAAAAAAATCTTACGAGTTGCAGCGAGCCTTCATCAATTCTAGCTACTCGAAAAGGTTTGAACATCAGATAGTCTCTTTTGACTGGATACATCTTGGGTCTATGCATCTTGAGCCGCGTGTCATTGGACTTCAAGCAAATGGCGAATTTAAAATATTCAGCATGCCTACAAATGCTACGTCCCATCTCTTGGAAATGGTTCCGTGGGCACAGCCTCATCAGTCTGGTGATTCGCGCTTTGATCTACCGTATTTTCGGATTCTCAGGGAGCGTGAAGAAATCTTAGGACCGCTCCATGCAACCAGTGTGAAAGCAACGACTCCCGTATTTGGCCCAGATAGCTACAGTCTTACTCAGACAAAAATAAACTTACTTTCTAAAGTCAAAAACTCTCTTTATTCTGAAAAATCACAAGTTGTTGATATTTCTATGGTAAATAGATCGGCAAGCGAGAAATTAGATCAAATTAATCTCGTAACGGCTGGCTATTTATTTGATTGTCAGAAGAACAAGCGTCTTGTTGGAAATGACTCAGGACTGGCAGACTTGTGGGAATGGATCTCAGGTTAGGTTATAAGAAATATGTAGAGTCTTTTTGACCGTAAAATAGGAGCCGAAGAGGCAGCAGCATCTAACGGTATGGTTTCTGGGTCATTAGACCTTAGTTATCTTGGTGTTTATTACATTTGGACAAATCAATTAGGTGTGTAGAAATCCTTAATAGTAATCAAAATAATCATCATCTGTAGGTAAAAAAATTCAATCACGAATGATAGATATAAAAGTCAATCCGAATCCAGCACAATGGGAACAGCACATCAGTTCGATCAACGAAAAAAACGAACGTCCAGAATTTGATAATGTCGAGACATTAAGGCCTCAGCATAGACAGCTATGTCTAGCTATTTGCGGTAACTTACGGAGTGATGATGAGATCCTTATGGAAATAGATGCACTTATAGAAGCAGGTGATTACTCATGTGCTGCTTGTCTAGCGCTATTCGAAGGGCGGCCTGATTTATCCGTCAAAATACTCTACGACGGCGGTAGTGAGTACTTCTTCATAGCGATGGCACTTGACATGAAAATCCAAACAAAAGCTTCCTTAAAACCGCCAAAGTTGGACTGGGAAAAGGCCTTAGACGGTACTCAGGGTCTCTCGAGTAATGTCAATATTCGCGCAATTTCTCATTATATCGCTACAAGCAGCTGGGAAGCTGTCGTTGAAGAAAGATGTCTTCCACTTCGTCAAAGAGTAGCCTTAGCGTTGCGACATTTTACTGATGATCAATTGACAAACTGGCTTGAAAAGGAAATGGAGGAGACAATTAGAACAGGCGATGTTCAGGGCGTAGTTTTAGCCGGAATAACCGATCCAACTGTCTCTATTATGGCCAAGTAGTAAGTCACCATTTCACTTGTCCCCTTCCAAAAATCCCAGGACTTAAGATCCAGTACAAAAGCTATAAATCTTTCTTGGTATGGCTTTTACCTCAATCCTAATTATCATATGAATTCGGCTACAAACTGCTTACCCGCTGGCTCTCAAGTGTCGAAAAGTGTGGAGACTATCAAACTGCCATTCTTGCACTTTCCTTCTGTTACCCGAGATATATTTCTGATGTTCGTTGCGACGCTTGGCGTGAGGAATACCGAGCATTCTTAAATCGCCATAGAAGATTTATCGATCGTGTTAAATTTGATCAAGAGTTAATTAAGAAGAGTCGCGATCGCAATGGAGTTTCTTTCCTTAAGCCTTCACCAAGACAAGTGGTAATTTTCCAAAAAAATACAAAAGCAAGGCAACTAACTTGTTAATTTTCAGACAATTCGCTGTCAGAATTGTGATCAAATGACAACTAGTGATCCTCCTCATTCAGTCCAGGCCACAGGAACAACTCCAGCTATATTGAGAAATCCAATCACCATTGCCGGCATCAATGCAGGCCTAAAATGTCCTCGATGCGGTGTTGGTCTACCTCGATGTGTTGTATGCATGCATCATGTTCTTGGCCAGCCACGCAGTGATAGGCCAGAATTATCCACAGATCCCATGTCATCGAAAGCTACTGAAAGTTTTCCAACATTCTGCATGAATTGTACGCTTTTCTAACTCTGCGTGTACCAAAATTTGTTTCTCACCATCAGTTTCTAGGTAAACATGTCATGCACATGGATCATGCTCTTCTCTGGTTCAAAAATCACGAAGAATGTCCTGTTTCTGAATGTCGCTGCCGATGCAACGATATGGTTAACCGATAGCCCCACAAGCTATTGCAATTCATTAGCTGAAGAAAGTTTGTCTCTGCGGGCGGAAATTTTTGTCACAGAATTTTTAGCTAAAAATGTAAGAAACCTTGCTCGAAAAGTATATTTTGACCACTGATTAAGGTTCTAGAGTATTTTCTGGAGCTCTTTGCGTCTTCGCATGAAGGCATACCAGCATCGGAAGTCCTTAACCTCTACATGTAAATATGTGAGAGAGAAGATGACAGGATAAATGGGTCTCGTAGCTTGGTATTTATGCTTTATTTATGTTTAGGCTGAGAGCCTAATTTATTTTTTTAAAAAAAAAAAATTATCTTTAGAATTATTCGGTCTAAAAATCATAGATGGATCGAGGGATAGTTGCGGTAGATTTATGAAGAAATGATGTGGTTACAGAAACTCCAATTTTATCAGAAAAATTCCTTGAGTACTTAAGTGAAATTTCGATGAATGTGTAAGTTAAAAGAGCTCCCATGAGACTTTGAAATGATCCATCCCACTTGGCGTCAATCAATTTATCCACTAAAGTTCACCACAGCTTCTACATACTATTACGACTGTAAAGCTGGTGAAAATTTCGTCTGTGGCTTCTCCAGGCCTCGTGCCAGCACTAGCTGTTCCATTTGTTCAAATGGTTCAAGAATTTTATCGTAGCGTTCCCATAGCTCAGCCTTGTACCCAGTCTCGATCTTCTTGGCGGTATTGCCTTCTTTCCATCGTTTACCAATTAGCTCCTCAAAGGTCTCTCCGTTTTTTCTTTCCAACGCCCATACAGCTTTGTAGGCACCTCCGAGTGCACATGCATTTTCTCCTGCATCTAATTTCCATACACCTTCAGCCCCCCCGAGCACGTCGCCAATTATCTGAGCGATGGCAGGATTACGAGAGCCGCCACCGACTAGATAAATACGACTAGGTTGAGGTGGAATACCAACAGCTGGCGGATGTACTAACTTCCGTGACCTTAAACGCAAAGATAATACTTGTGATTCAACAATTGTACGAACATCATCTTCCGGGCCCCATTTCTCGCTCAATTCTGTCAGGTTTTTGCCCATGCTATCACAGACAAAACGCCATATACCGGCCCCAACATTTGGTACGATTTCGGGAAGCGGAAAAAATAGACCTAGTCTCATCGGATCGGAAGAATTCTTTTGGCCCAAAGGATAACTGTCGAGGGCAACTTTATTGAAATTTGACCATGGGTCACAGGTGTTAGATTTAGGAAGAGCATCACGTATTTGCTCTCGCGCCAAGCTGCCATTTTTGTAGCAGAGCATAAACATGTAAAGTCCTGGAGTAGTGGGGTGATTGAAAAAATGGTAAGCTGGATGGGGCACATACTTTGGGGTAGACATGAGGAAGGTAGTTGATGTACCAAGGGATACAATGGCATCTAGAGACCGCAAAGGAAGCGAGAGAATTGTAGACGGATTATCGCCAGTGAAAGGAATGATTCCACAGTCATGAGGAAACTTATATCGCTTTGTAAAATAGGCAGATATGAATCCCATGGTGTTACCACTATCCTTATGAACGTATCCCAGTCGTTCTTTGAGCGATTGTATGCCATCATCACCAGCTGTCAGATCAAGGAGATCTTCCGACCAGTCGCCGGCATTGATATCCCACAGATTCATACCGCAAACGTCGCTTATGTCGAGAGGGGCAATCTTACCAAGGAACAGTGAAGCAAAGAAGGAAGAAACAAGGGTAATCCGATGCGCTTTTCGATAAACTTCTGGATGGTGACGGCGCATGCGCAAAATTTGCGGTCCAGTAAACCGCTTGGATGGTCAGCTGACGCAAAAATTAATCAAAGGCAATTTAGGAAGACAAACGTGATGAGCCTTGCTTCCAGTTACTTGAGCTAGTTTCTCAGGAGAGCCAAGAATAGCATCAAATAGATCGCATTCCTCCTGAGTGCTTCCGTCTTGCCAATTGGGACTAAAAGCATGGGCAAATGCTTTTCCGGCCAGTTGGTCGACAATAGTTCTCACTGGATCCATGCTGGCAAGGAGGTTTTCTGCAGCCTCGTTCCAATAGACACTTCCATGTTGCTGTCCAGCTCCGGAAATTCCTTTAATTTTATGGAAGGGTGTTTCCAGCTCCTTAAGACGTTCTAGCACTAGGTCGACCGCCTCGAGCCACATTGCAACTGGGGCATAAACGGCAGAACCCTGAACAAAGACACCTTTCTTAATGCCATATTTCGAAAGATCCGTATCAAAGTCCACTTTAGCCTCAAATAGAACTTTCAACGAGGAGTTGATCACAATGGCTGAGACGTTAGGGAAACCTAACGATCTAGTGGATCACCAGACCTTACCTTTGATTTGCTGGGTCGAAAGGTCAAGGCCAAGATAAAGTGGTCCTTCTTCGGCTGACATAATTGCAAGTATCTGCCCTCGCAACCTGGAAGATTATGAGTAGCCCAGCATTTATCTATCTAAAAAAATATAATTGTACCAATATGAAGTTGGCTTACCTATCTGATGGAGGAGAAACAAGAGAATAGGTGCAGGGCGTGATGCTGTAGAGGTAACAGCGTTACTTACACTTGGAGTGGTTTACGTTACAACAGGTATCAAGGTGAAGATAGAGTTACCAACAAAATCTGTTGGAGGTTAATTATTCGTTACTATCACCGTTATTTAATAATTTATAATACCTAACGTCGTGCACTTGCATAACACGTGAGCCCTCCACCTACCGGTTAGCCCAGTCTCAAGAAAGCTACCCGAAGTGTTGGTGCCTAAAAAGACCCAACAAAGTTAATGAAAGCCAGGATCTTATCATCATGCGCTCCAAGATTGAATTGCACACACATGTCAGCCTCTCGGTGCATCTTATAATTTGTAGACCACATTTAAAGGATAAAAAAATTGGAAGAAATTACGTCTGTTGATATGAGCTTACTAGCCTTTTGTAGCATGATAAAGCTCCGATCAGATTGTTTGTGTTTTATCAAAAAAAATAAGATACGCGCCCAGCTTTTAAGCGCATGAAATGCCTCTGGTTAAGCAAAAGCTTAAGGTAGGCTGAGAGTAAAATTGTTAAGCAAAGTTATACTAATATGAATCTCTCTCAGAGTTGATTGAATTGATTGTCCTCTACCATGAGGAATCTATCTAGGTACTATATACATCTTGAGTATCCTACTAATTCCAAATATAGACTGACTATTAGATTGCCCATGCGAACTGCTCAAATCTCCGTTCAATACATGATTCTGAAATTGGCTGTTACATTATCATGGGCAATAGAGAAAGTGAAACAACAAGGTTGTTTTTTTTTGCATCAGATTTTAATTGCGTATGCAGCTATCTAGCTATGACACAATATCAAAGAAAAGTACAGAATGAATGATTCAACGTAAAGTAAGAGCACTCATGTCTCAGATTTTATTTGCAGGTCCCACTGCGAAGTTATGGTGGCTTTTTCTTCACCACAAGTCAACCCTCATCCGTGAATACCCACCCAGGGGAACGTCTCAAAAACCCTGAGTTATCCAGACATGCCTCTGTCATCCATCAACTTTTCTCCGAAGGAAATGTAATCTGAGATGTCTCCATCCCAAGTGGAGTAGGTGCCCAGGCTACTCAAACTATACCAGAGAAAACCACCAGGAGGCGGATCACATCACCTTCCATCGTCGGCTTGTTTTTATAGTGTCAGCTGCACTCTTGCAAGCGAAGTCTTGGCGCGCACAAAGCTCCATTCGTAAAACTCTTGCCAAAATTCGAAATTTCACGCCCGTCGAGAATGTATCCTTCCTTTGCATCATCTTGTCAACTTGTCCTGATCCCTCTCACGTCCGTCCCAAAGGGCTATCTCCTAGATTTTTGCTCCACGCTTTGCTTCCTCCGTCGGGTATAAATATCGGCGTGGGCGTGTATTTGGTGACTGGCTGAGGCCAGAGAAAGTCGACGAGAGGTGTGGTCATTGAAACAAGGATGTACTAGGTCGTACTTGTAGACTTGATGAAGCTTAGTTGAGAACCGGACTCTTTGGGAGTGAAAGATTGATATGGTGGAGTAATTTTAATCATTGCCTCGTGGGCAAACTTCTTTGATATTGCGAAATGTGACTGAACTTGGCTCTGGGAGAATATTTCACTTCCAGGTTTGTAGAGGACATCGCGTACAGGTGTTCAGTCTTGCTCTCCAACAAGGGAGTTGTGCATATGAAACTGGCCATCCGTCTAGTCGCTAGTTGTAACATTTGCATGACTAAGTTATTGCCCTTGATGCATCAGCCCAGTTTACTTGCTTGTAAACTACTCAACTTAGACAATATGATACAACATTTAAATTTAGGGTAATCTGTTTGACAGAAATTCTCTGCTCCATGGAGTTGAGCCTGCTACTGCCCGAGGTGGCAGTAGAAAAGACAGTTGGGAGATTTATCACACCCACATGGGTAGGTAAGGACGGAGTTTTCGTGAGAAACCCAACAGTGCTATTGCTGTTATTAGATAATGTCTATGGTAGCTCATCTGCCCGAATGCACTTGATACGTATCTCCCAAGATGATATCGGGCGCTGTAGCTGGGACTCATGATTTCACGATTTCTTATAACCAGAATCTCTCACTGTGCGGCATTCTATTAATCCAACCATTAAAGTTAGATATGAATATCTATAGATGAATTGATCAGACCACCCCAGTACTGATCCATTTGGCATTCATTTTAAGTGCTAGATAGTCATAGACTCAAGTAGCACAATAAATACACACACACACTGATCCATTTGCGATAATATGCAACATACTTCGCTAAATTAACTAGGCCCATGAGATCAACTGGCAAGTAAAATTGACGTTATCATTTTGAAAAATAAACCATCAGTGAAGACAATGAGATATTTTAACAGTATTTAGTGATTAGGGGCTCAGCAGAGACTTCTACTGAAAAAATCAGGCTGATTGTTCAGATAAATATGGAAAAAGAATCACAAAATTGAGAATTTATCTTGGGCCGTAATAAAGTATACAATATTCTTAAGATACATGGGACACGGTATAGCGTTGTAAATGTTGACTAGAGAGCCCTACTGCTACAGATGAATTCTATGCAGAGTGCAGGCGACACCAAAAATACCGCCGTGGTTGGATGGTGCGGTGGTACATCGTTTCGGCCGGGCTGCCAAGTAGAGTCTGGATAGCTTGAACACACATCCCACTCGAGACAGGAGATTGCTGGTACGAATCCGGCAATACACAACCACATTTCTCGCGTCGCTGGAATGCATTCATGACGAAGGTGTGCATGGGTAATCGAAAGTTTTGAAACGTTCCTTTGGTGGGTACTCACTGAGGAGGGTCGAGTGTTTGTGTAAGCAAACATAACTCACAGTGGTATTTGCGAATGAAATCCAGAGTATGAGTGTCTCTAACGTCAAATGAGTCATCCAATGTGTATACATAGCACCGTTCATGGTCATATCCCTATAACTGAATACACATTACATGATTTAAAAAAAAGAAGTATATGTACTGTTAGTTTTGTTTTGTTCATTAACGTGCTAGGTTACATTGAGGTTATAAGTTCCTAGGATGATACGGTGGTAAAATGTGGATGTACGAAAATCGTACGTTAACAGTGTCTCTGGATTTCTGCTGTATCTTCTACATAGTGAAAACTTAAGACGGTGTATGACTGTCTTCTAAAATTACAGGATGTGTCTAGTATATACAGATTTGTAGCTTTGTGTGCATTATGCATAAAGACTGGGGTACACGTGACAAATTATAATACAATGTTTATGATCAGGGATCCTCAACATGACTACCGTTGCACTCCTATTGGAGCTTAAGCACGTGTGGGGTTGGGCCGGATCAGGTTAACTACCGTGAAGTACAGATAAACCTCGTCCCACTTTCATGACCGGACCACCTCAGACCTCACCTATGTGTTGAATTATACGAAGCCTAACCGTCCAGAAACCCGCTGTATACACGCCGTAGCGCAATTTACTCCTCAGCCTCGGCCACCACGCGCCCGAGCCCTTGACACCTTCGCCGTCTGTAACTTTTCCCTTCGATCCATGCCCAGCTTTGGCTCATCTCAGCATCTCCTCATCTCATCCAGGGGTCGTTTTCTTCACTGGAGGCCTCATCCAGTCGCCCACCAAGGCCTCCTCAGTTTGTATCCCCTTTTACTTCCTTCACACAGCATCCCTCTGTCCATCAGCCGATCTCGTCATCCCAGAAACTTAGTAGGATTTCTACCGCTCCGGCCTTGCCCCGTCGCTGCCGTACCCCTAACCGTGGAGGTCGAAAACGCGACTGAGAGCTCAAGACCGAGGCACCGGTGCTCTAGCCTTTTTCGAACGCTCTAGTTAGTGTGCCGGCGAAATGTCGTACGTATTTCATCGGTGGCGATTCGTTGCAGGTCGAGTTGTTGGTGCCCTTGGCCGAGGTGAGGACGCATTTAAGGCCGGTATTTCGACCATACCTTAACAGCGGCTGGCAGTTGCGGAGGGTCCGAAATCCTCTGGCTTCTTTGTTCGCGTTTTGACTTTTGGAGGTATAGGATTGCTTCGGTAGGTGGTGAGATAATTGTGGAGAGGGCCGCAAGATGAGTTTGGCTAGGTGTGATTTTCCAGAGAAGTAGAAAATAAGATGTTGAAGGTGTCGGTTTTTGTAATACGAACATTAATCAGGTTATAGCCTGTCCGCAGTTCGTATCTGGGGTGTAGATGGTTGATTTCGTTGAGTTGTGCAGTCGTGAAATCTCTTCAAGTCGGATTTTCCACCAAAATTGAGCCAACACCACTCCTCCCGATCGCCAACTCCACGAAAACTCTCAATATCACCCTTTGTCGTGACTGAATCTCAGCTCTGGGAGAAAATTTCTCTCCCAGGTTCGTAGAGGACACCACTGAGAGGTGTTCAGCCTTCGTCCTGAATATGTACTATTATTCAGGTCATGTGAGCTAACTTGCTCAGTTTACATGAGTAGGTGAGATAGATCCCCTTGACAAATATATATAAAGTAAATCAATTATGTAAATTGATATGTTAAAGCTGAGTGAAAAGAGAGAAATGTTTATTGTACTGCTCCAGTTAAAGAACATCTAGCACATTGAGCTCCTCTCTGTGCTAGGCTACACCTTGTACAGTGCTCTTATCCTCTTTTTCCACTTGAAAGATCATTGATATATTGCCCGTCATGAATAGCCATTCAGCTCAGTATTTGCCGGCGGAATTCGTCCATCTTTTCCACGGAACCTTCTAGCCAAAAAAATAAAAATGGAAGCAATTGAAACTGCGTGCGCAATTAAAAAATATCGAAAACCATGCAGCTTCGGCTAGGCGAGGCCTAGACACTGAGCCCACAAAAGGTACACATATGAATCTATATTTGTGACTAAAGCCAGGTTGG